AAGATCAAAGATCGCTACACCAGCCCTAAGAAGCTCATCCCAGCGAGGGATCTCACTAGCCCCAGGGAACTGCTGACGCCAAGCGTCCGTCAGGCGGCCAAAGCAACGCTGGGTGGGGTGGGCACCCCCACACTGCTCACCCGCGCGGTCGCCGGAACGAAGGATGTAGGTGCACGGACCAGTACCCCCACCCCTTTGACGCTGAGTGTACCACTCACGAAGCTGCTGAGGCGGAGGGATGTCCCGCGAACGCTGCTGCTGCTGCTGCTGCGAGCGCTGGCCACCACCACCGCCGCTCCGCTGCTGGGTACCACCCCGACCAGCTCCACCCCCTCCACCACCACCGCCTCCTCCGCTGCCTCCTCCGCCGCCTCCACCTCCGCCGCTGCCACCACTACCACCGCTGCCACCACCACCGCCGCCTCCGCCGCTGCTGCCACCACCACCACCACCCCCGCCACCACTCCCGCCGCCACCCCCACTCCCTCCGCCGCCTCCGCCGCCACCGCCACCGCTCCCTCCAGCTCCACCCGCGCCCTTGCCCCCCTTGCCCCTGCCAGGGCGACGTCTCCCAGTAGGGGCAGACGCCGCGCCAACCGACTCAAGACCAAGCAGGTCGGCAGCAGCAGCAGAGGCAACAGAGGGCAGCAAGGGGGAAGGAGAGCACCCCTCAAAGATGGGGGTGCGAGGGTCACCACGAGAAGCTCCTACAGCGACTATGCTCTTCTCCGCTGCGAGGAGGGCCTTCTCGAGGACGTCGACGGTGAGGGTGGTGGGACAGACTGCGAGAAAGTGGTCCCTGACTACGCGAAGGGAGTCAGGGAGGCGCGCGACTACGTAGTAGAGAGTGATGTACATGGGGGGGGGGGGTTCTTAGCGCAGAACTCAGCAGGAAGGGCGGCGCGGTAGCAAGTGTCACTAGTGCGGAGGTGCGTAATGAGGTCAGCGACAGTGGGAAAGGCAGAGAGGTCAGGAAAGAGGTAGGGAAGCATGAGACGGCTCAGTGCAGCAGTGGCAGGGGAGGAGTAGCGCGCAACTACAGCGTCGTACAAGGTCTGAGCACTCTTGTACTGACTAAAGTGCGCGCGCTCAGAGGTAGGGAGGTGGCGACGCACAACAAGACGTGCAGCAGCATCGCGGGTGGCCCACTGAGAGCGAACAGTGGGATCAGCATCAGCAGCAGGAGCAGGAGAGGCGCCAGAGGTAAGGTCAAAGAGAGAGAGGCCGTCTGCCCTATGGCACTGTAAAAACAACTGCAGGTCGTCCACCCAGACCTCAAAGTCAATAGCGCGACCCTCAGCGTCAAAAGCTAGGACACTAGGGGTAGCCATGACGACGACAGCGAAGCAGTGCAAGCAGTAGGGGAAGAGCACGCAGTGACAGTGCGACTGTGCTCACCAGGCAGGGCAGGTCGGGCAACTGTGCAGAAGGGCGGCTCGGCGACTCAGCGAGTCGGCTGCTGGGCGGCTCGGCGGCAGGGCAGCTCGGGAGCAGGGCGGCTCGGCGCCCGGGCGGCTCGGCGGCAGGGCGGCTCGGGTGCAGGGCGGCTCGGTTCCAGGGCGGTTCGGCGGCGGGGCGGCCCGGATGCACTGCTGCTCGGCTGCTGCAGGTGGGCGGCTCGGCTGCTGCAGGTAGGGTGGCGGGGCCGCGAGAGAGCCGGGGCGGGGCCGCGTGAGAGCCGCGGCGGGGCCGTGTGAGAGCCGGGGCGGGGCCGCGAGAGAGCCGGCGGCGGGGCCGCGTGAGAGCCGGGGCGGGGCCGCGTCAGGGTCGGCGGCGGGGCCGCGTCAGAGCCGGCGGCGGGGCCTCGTCGTGGCGGGCGGCGGGGCCGGGTTAGAGCCGACGGCGAGGCCGGCTAAGAGCCGGCGGCGGGGCCGCGTCAGAGCCGACAGCGAGGCCGCGTCAGGGCCGGCGGCGGGGCCGCGTCAGGGCCGGCGGCGGGCCGCGACGTAGTGGGCGGCGGGGCCGCGTCAGAGCCGGCGGCGGGGCCGCGTCAGTGTAGGCGGCGGGGCCGCGTTAGAGCGGACAGCGGGGCCACGTCAGGGCCGGCGGCGGGCCGCGACGCAGCGGGCGGCGGGGCCGCGTCAGAGCCGGCGTCGGGGCCGCGTCAGTGTAGGCGGCGGGGCCGCGTCAAGGAGGCGGCGGGGCCGCGATCAGGAGGGGTGGCGGGGCCGCGTCTGAGGGACAGCGGGGCCGCGAGGGAAATGGCGACCCGAGGGGTCGCTAAAAAGAATGCGCGCCTCGGGGCGCGCTTCGGTGGGCCCTAAAAAAAAAACGGTCCTTCGGAAGGACCCGCTCTATACCATGTGAAACAAGTGAACAGGAATGGTGAACTATGAAATGAAAACAGTACAAGTGCCAACCCCAATTGGGTTGTACCCCTTATGTGCTACCCCACTACAGCCTACAAACATGCATCAGCTATAGTAATCTGACACGTAGGTGCACGGACGAGTACCCCCACCCCGCTGGCGTGTAGCGTACCACTCACGGAGCCGCTGAGGGGGGGGGTGTCACGAGTGCGCTGCTGCTGCTGCTGCAGCTGCTGGCGCTGACAACCACCGGAGCCGACCCTCTGCGTAGCACCACCCCGACCAGCTCCACCTCCTCCGCCGCCGCCTCCTCCACCGCCGCCACCCCCGCTCCCACCGCCACTGCCACCGTCGCCTGCGCCACCGCCGCCTCCGCCTCCACCTCCACTGCCGCCACCTACACCTCCACCCCCGCGACCACTCCCACCCCCACCCCCACCCCCTCCACTGCCTCCACCGCCACCTTCACCGCCCCCGCCAGCCCCTCCAGCGCCCTTGCCCCCCTTGCCCTTGCCGGGGCGACGTCTCCCGCTAGGGGCAGACGCAGCGCCTGTTGAGTGATGCTACCATTCGCATTCACGTCTGTCTGCCTCCCATCATATGTTCGTGCGTTGCATGCGTGTTGTGAGTGTGTGCAAGAATTTGTGTTTTGTGCGGTTTGCTTTTTCTAAGTGTGTGTATGTGTGTGAATGTTATTTGGCTTGAGCAGATATCTGAAGTGACTCCTCTGCTCAAGAGCTTTCCGAGGAACCAAGTATCGCTTCAATCGGAGCACGAACAAGAAAGTTACGAACGTTGGAGTTCGTATGCTTTTGATATTTGGTTGTGGTGACTATGGGAAGTTGTGGGGTTGACTCAATATGGGGTACAGACTTTTGAGGGTTGGGAAATTCGTCTTTTCTACTGTAGTTGCTGCCAAATGGTTGGGAGAAACCAAACCAGGCTGGCAAGTGTGGCCAAGTTGGGTTGAGGTGGATTGTGGAGGTTGGGATAGTGACAAAGGTCAAAGTTGGGTTGCCTATGGGGAAGGGAATTGTATGGCATGGGGTTTCCTTGGTTGGGGACTCTCTTGGGACCTTCCCTCTCGTCCTCCTCATCCCTTCCACCTGGTTTAGTGCTACTCCAATTCTCTTGTGTGAACTTGTGTGAACTTAGTGATTGAGTTAAGATTCTATGGCAGCATACCCCCTAGTGCGCCGAAATTGATAGCTCAAGAAATACTTCACCTTTTCGCATGATTCAACTTGGGAATTGTAGCCACGGAGTAGAGATACAACATATTCGAGTTTGATGAAGTTTTGACCGTGAACGTTTTGTTGACGGCGTTTCTTGTGAACTCGACTTTTCTATTCAGAAACTAGGCCCAACGATGTTGAGATATTTTGGCTACTAATCTTCATAGACTCCGTCCTCAGTATCTAACAGCGCCGACCGACTCGAAGCCAACGAGGTCGGCCGCAGCAGCAGAGGCAACAGAGGGCAAAAGGGGGGAGGGGGAACACCCCTCAAAGACGGGGGTGCGAGGGTCACCACGAGAGGCTCCTACAGCGACTATGCTCTTCTCTGCTGCTAGGAGGGCCTTCTCGAGGAGGTCAACGGTGAGAGTGGTGGGGTAAACTGGGAGGAAGTGGTCCGTGACTACGCGAAGGGAGTCAGGGAGCCGGGTGACTATGTAGTAGAGAGTGATGTACATGGGGGGGGGGGGGGGTGGGTTTGGCGCAGAACTCAGCAGGAAGCGCAGCGCGGTAGCGAGTGTCACTAGTGCGGAGGTGCATAATGAGGTCAGCGACTGTGGGAAAGGCAGCAAGGTTAGGGAAGAGGTACGGTAGCATGAGGCGGCTCAGTGCAGCAGTGGCAGGGGAGGAGTAGCGTGCAACTACAGCATCGTACAAGGTCTGAGCACTCTTGTACTGGCTAAAGTGTGCACGCTTAGTGGTCGGTTAGTGGTGACGCATAGCAAGACGAGCAGCAGCATCGCGTGGGGCCTTAAGGGGCCGTAAGGGGTGACGCGAGGGGCTGTAGAGGGCGGCGCGAGGGGCTGTAAGAGGTGGCGCGAGGGGCCGTAATGGCGGTCAACGGGGCCGTGAGAGGGGCCACTAAGGGCGGCTCGAAGGTAGGGAGGGCACACAGAGCGCGACTCGGTCTAGAGTGAAGCGCGCTCCGGGCAGGGGAAAAAAAAAAGTATCGTGGTGGGCCCTAGGTAGCGTTCCCACTAGGGAACCTGCTCCATACCATGAGAAGAAACGAGAATGATTGAACTATCAAACAGTTGGGTACAAGTACTAACCCTAATTGGGTTGTACCCCTTATGGGCTACCCCACTACGGCCTACACAAATGTATAAGCTATAATGTTCTGACACAGTTCTTCGCAAAACAGCAGCCTTTCATTTACATCTCCAACACGACCTCGTCTGCCATGGTTGCCCTCGCTCAACCCGCCGCCCTGAAGACTAGCTGCCACAGCCTCTTCTAGGAGGGCGACGCCTATTGGCTGCACGGCAGGTAGACCACCGATCGCTTCGTTTAGCTCCCATTGTGCTTCCACTTATCATGCTGTCTCAACTCGCCGCTATCTAGCTCCCCTCACTCAGATCCCGTCTTTTTCTCGTGGCATGTGATAGTGGTGGTGCGGCTCAATGCGCGGAGTGGCAGGACGACGACAGCGCTCGTCACGAGGGCGTCCGCCATCATGGACTACGTCTCCGACATGAGCCGCGCCGGTAGGATGAGACCCGCGTAGGTGTGAGCCGCGCAGGTAGAGTACGAGCCGCGCGAATGCGATCCGAATTGAGCTGGTACAGTATGAGCCGAACGTGCGGTATAAGCACAACGAGTACGCTACAAGCAGGTCCTTTAAAATAGGAGTCGCGATGATAAAACTAGTGGCCAGTGGATACGCCTCTAGTCGAATTTGTGATGACTTTGCGGCATTGTTGTTCCGCACGCCGCCCAGAATCCTAGTGTCTCGCTGCGTTTTGTTTAGTCATGTTACTTCCCTTTGTCTCTCGTCTTTCCCCTCTGTGCACGGCAGCGCCCAAGGGGCTGTTCCCGCCGGAGCCCGAGAAGTATACGGGGCTGAAGCTCAAGGTGGCAATCCTGGGCCCGGGGCTGGCCGGCATGTCTACCGCCGCCGAACTGCTCGACCAGGGCCACAAGGTGAGCTGTTGGACTAGGGCCACGAGGTGAGCTGGAATGTCGGGCAAAGGCTAAACCGAATACGCGGAACGGCGGATGTTAAGTGCTTGTGGTGTAAGTATCTCTGTAGCGGGGCGATCTTTCTAATTCATGTTGCTCGAATCAGTTTCTCACGCTAATAGAACTTCACATGCCATGCTCGGGCATGCGCCGGATGTGCGGGGGGGATGCATGTGCATGGGGGATGTGCGTTCGTAGGGGGTGTGCGCGGTGCGTGTGCGGGGAGCGAGCGCGGATGCGAGCAGGTGGACATCTACGAGGCGCGGCCGTTATTAGGCGGCAAGGTGGCGAGCTTTCAAGACAAGGACGGCAACCACATCGAGATGGGGCTGCACGTCTTCTTCGACTGCTACAACAACCTCTTCCGCCTCATGGCCAATGCAAGCGCACCCTCTTCTGCCTCATGGCCAAGGCAAGCGCAACCCGTCTTGCCTCATGGCCAAGGCAAGCCCACCCTCTTCCGCTTCGTAGCCCAAACACTTCTCACCATTGGCAAACGAACGAAAATCATTTACAGGTATGCCCCTCCCCTGGTGGCTCGCATCGCATGTACAAAGCGGCGTGGTGGACAGCCTGCTGCGCAAGGAGCACACACACGTCTTCATCAACAAGGGCGGCGTCACTGGCGGTGAGATGCTTCGTGCCCGCCGCCCACCCGTGCCATCACCCACGCTCGTTTCCTCGCGCAGTCTCATGGTTTGGTTTGATGGAGAAACTGCTCAACACATGACGCGCACCTCCTCTCTCCTCGCTCCATATAGCTGGTTAATTCCTTCTTGATTTCCCGTTCTATATTCCCCTCATCGTTCCCTCCCCCTCCCCGACCCCACGTGGACGTGTGGCATGGCATGGCATGGCGTGCACAGAGCTGGACTTCCGGTTCATCACGTACGCGCCCTTCCATGGGCTCAAGGCATTCTTCACCACCAACCAGCTCTCGGCCAGCCTCGCTCTCGTGCCTCTCTATTACCACGCCTTTCTCTCTGCACGACACGCTGAATGATAGGCAGTGCTTTGGCGTTGGTGATACATTCCTCGTCACATCACATCACATCATCACCCGTGCCTCCCCGCTGCGCCTCTCCCATGCATGCATGCGTGCAGCCGGTGGACAAGGCGTTCAACGCGCTGGCACTGGCAACAAGCCCCGTGGTGCGAGCGCTGGTGGACCCCGAGGGCGCCTTCCAGGTCATCCGCGACCTCGACAAGGCACGCCCCGCCCCTCCCCTCCCCCTCCCACGTCACCCCCCTCCTCCCCTGCGTCACCCCCCTCCTCCCCCCTCCCTCCATCTCCATACCCCACCCCACCACTCGCCCCCTCACCTCGGCTATGCAAGTCCTTGCTCTCTCACCTTGCTGAGAAAGCCATGCTTATTTGCATTCCTGTCCACCGTTTCAATAGCTTTTATTTCTGTCATGCACAAACATCATCTGCCTGTGCTGCCTGCCCCTCTGTGCTACCCCGCTGTGGTGCTGTGTGGGCGAGCAGGTGAGCTTCAGCGAGTGGTTCACGTCGCACGGCGGCACAAGGGAGAGCATCAAGCGCATGTGGGACCCGGTGGCATACGCGCTGGGGTTCATAGACTGTGACAACATCAGTGTGCGCTGCATGCTCACCATCTTCGCCTTCTTCGCCACCAAGACCGAGGTATCCATGCTGCGCATGCTCTATGGCTCGCACGACCGCTTCCTCGCCGACCCGATCGCCAAATACATCACTGACTGCAGAGGCAGGTGAGGCAACTGCGTTACCGACCGTGGCGGCAGGTGAACCGAATGCATCACTGACCGTGGTGGCAGGTGCGTCATGGCACCGACTTAATCGACTGCAGAGGCAGGCACGTGTGGGGAATGCGGAAGAGCAACGGACTAAAATGAAGAAACGCTGTAGAAATTCTATTAACTGTGGAGGTGTTTGGATGAAATCTAAGCAAGCAAGCACCTTCACTATTTCCTTCCACCCATTGTCGAACTGTGGCACCTATGTTGTCTTCATATTGACAGCTTGGAGTGGAAGATGGATTGTGAAGGGCGAGCGTTGGGGCAGTGGGGAGGATGGGGTGGGGAAGGTGGGCGGGGTTGGCAGGGGAACATGATGAACAGTGTGCCTGGGTTGAGCTCGCCTCACCTGCACTGCCGTGCCGTCCACCTGGCCCTCCCCGTGCATGAGCAGGTTCCACGTGCGGCAACTGTGCCAGGAGGTGCTCTACTCCACCGCCGCTGATGGCTCCACCGTTGTCACTGGCCTGCACATGAAGCAGGTGAGAGGAGAAGGCGGGAGAAGTGGGAGATGCATGTGGGAAAAAGGGGGGGGGGAAAGGGGGGGGGGAGGATGGGAAGGAGTATGCAGTGCAGTGGCATGGTGGAGTTGCTTTTCATTCCTTGCCTACCACCTGAGCTATTCACAGCGGCTATCATCCTATGTGCTGCAAACCATTGTCTTTCCTATCCTCTGCGGCCTGCTTTGTGTGTCCTGGCAGACGGGAGGCAAGGGGCACATTGTGACAGCTGATGCATATGTTGCTGGTGCGTGCCTGGGAGGGAGGTTGGTGCACTGGAATGGAAAACTTGTGGGCTGGGTTTTGCGGGTGGAAGACACAGGCAGGGATGCATGCGTGTCTGCCATTCAACAAAGCACACATAGCACCCTCTTGGCCCGCCTCTGTACTTTGCATCAGCCTTCTCCTGTCCCTCTCGTGCTCCTCATTTCCTCCCCAACTTCCCCCCACCAGCTCTGGACGTGCCGGGGGCGAAGAGGCTGGTGCCGAAGGAGTGGAGGGAGCGGTGGGGGCAGTTCAGGGACATCTATGAGCTGGTGGGCGTGCCCGTCATCACCGTGCAGCTGCGCTACGATGGCTGGGTCACTGAGATGAACGACATCGAGCTCTCCAGGTGCGCCCTCCCTCTGCCCTCCCTCCTGCATTTACCTCCCCCAGTGCTTCCTGTGCATGTATGAGTGGCCTGCTTGTGGTCATGCCAAGAGCCGCATATTCCCCTCCCTTGCCGCCCTCTGCTACTGTCTTCTTCCCCCCTACAGGCAGCTGGCACTGGCGGCAGGGCTGGACAATCTGCTCTACTCGCCCGATGCGGACTTCTCATGCTTTGCTGACCTGGCGCTCACAAGCCCTAACGACTACTACAAGGAGGGACAGGGCTCGCTCATGCAGTCAGTGCCCCTCCCCCCCTACCCTTCCCCTGTTCACTCCTGCCGTACCCATCCCCGCCACTCATGCTTGCTGGTTGCGCTGGCCACCATGGGTCATTCATTCAGGCACTGTCCCTTCTCCCCTCCACCCCCCCTCACATGCCGTCCCTGGTCCTCACTGCTCCCATCAATCCGTTTTCCCTTCATGCAGCCACATACTCGCCAATTTAACCTATCGTCTGTTCACCCCGTCCTGCTTGGCTCAAATTGTATTGCGGCATTATTGGGTGGTGATCACACCAGCGGACCCCTACATGCCAATAACCAATGAGGCCATCGTTGCCAAGATGAATGAACAGGCCACTCATACAGCCTGCGCCATGGATTCGACTCCTGCTAGTGTCTTTAGCTGTATTTCTCAGTCCACACCACATGCCTCGAATCACATGGCTCCGTCTAGATGCCTCAATTCCCATGTGATCCTGCTGCCTGTCCCTTTCCACTCGCCCTTTTTGAAAACCACCCTTCACTTCTCCCTCGCCCGGCCCTTGCTCTCTCTGCCCCCCCCATGTTCCGGCCAGGTGATGGATCTGTTCCCATCAGCGTAGGGGCCTGACACTGCTTTGGCACTCGGTGGTGAAGATCAACCAGTCGTTGTACCGCGAGGCGCCCGACCTCGACCAGTTCCACCCCGACCAGAAGTCGCCCGTCCCCAACTTCTTCCTCGCCGACTCCTACACCAAACAGGTACACCTACCGCCCTTCTGTAGCGACCCAAGCAGGTACACCTGCCACCCCCCTATAGCGACCCTAGCAGGTGCGCCTGCCACCCCCTTATAGCGACCCAAGCAGGTAGACCGCTCACTTGGTCGCTTGGCCCGTCCTGTGCCCGCCATGATGCCATCCACCACATCCCCCTCACATCCACTCCCTCCACCTTCCCTCCACCACCCACCCTCCATCTCCCTTGTCCAGGACTACCTAGACAGCATGGAGGGCGTCACGGTGTCGGGCAGGAAGGCAGTAGCACGCATCTGTGAGGCGGGGGAGGCCATTAGTGCACTCGCCTCCTAGCAAAGTGCACCCGCCCCCGCTGCTGCTGTCTAACCATGTCTAGTTCCTAGTGCCTTTTTTTGTAACCACATGATAAGTGGTATATATTATTTTACTACTTGTGTTTGTGCTTGTGTTTGTCTTGGTTGCTTGTAAGTACCGTATTTGCGGCACCTTACATACAAGCTCTTCTGTGCTGATGTAGCCAAGGATCAGTGGATAGGATAGAATCTGTTAAGTCTGAGAGGAGACAATGAAGTCTCTGTAATGACCTTGTTGAATGATAATTGAGATGGAACAAGATGATTGAAAGATAGGAGTACAAGGGATTAAATAGAAATCTAGCTAGCCATGTACTCTTAGGGGTACATTCCCTTATTAAGTGTATTGCATAGCTACAGTAACCGTGACTATTGCTATCCTCGACAGCTACCATGTTGCAGTGAATTAACTGTCGCACGGTTACTGGATTGTCAAGGGTCACGACCATTGACTTTCTCAGACGGTTAACCTTCGGGTGACTCTCGACATTCCGAATGCTCTATATGAGCTATTCCGGTACTGGTACAGTGGAACAGCTTCGGGAATGCTTTATATAACCTTTCGGTTATTCCAACACTCCCCTTCATTCTTGAAGGTGGACCACGTGGGATTTCTTGGTGATCCCGCAGAGGTCGGCGCAGCGTTGGTACTGCTGACGTGGTAGCTTCTTCGTTAAGAAGGCAGCTTCCATGTCACCGGTCGGGCAGTACGTCAGCTTGACTTTCCCTTTGTCGATTTCATCCTTCACGAAGAAGTAGCGAAGGGCGATGTGCTTGGTGCGTTTGACGAAGCCGGGCTTGTTCGCGATCTTTATCGCGCTTTGGTTGTCGCAGAGTAATGAGAAGTATCCGTTCATCGTCATTTTTGCCTCTTGTAGGAGCTCTATCAGGTACAGTCCTTCGCGAACAGTTGCGCTAGCTGCGATGAATTCTGCTTCTGCTGACGAAAGAGCGATGAGTTCCTGCTTCTGAGAGTTCCAGGAGATGAGTCCCGCTGGTTGGAGTTGAAAAATGAATCCTGTGCGGGAGCGTCTGTTGTCAACATCTCCAGCGTGGTCGGCATCTACGTAGCCATGGAGCTGCAACGTAGCGGTGAGGTTGGCTTCTTAAGTGAGACCGACGTCGGGAGTGGAGATGAAGTACTGTAGTGCTTGGCGTAGATCCAGTAGATTCTCCCCTTCAGGTCGCTTCAGGTACTGTGCGAGCTGGCTCGTGACGTAGGAGAGATCGGGCCGGCACGTGACGGCGGCGAACAGTAGACATCCCAGCTGCTGCTGATAGAGACGATGGTTGTCGGGAGAGAGCGGTGTGGTGTCTGGCTTGTGGTTAGGAGGAGGAGTGCGATAGGGGGTAGTGAGGTTGATTGGTGCGATAGAGAAGCGCTTCGCGAGTGTTTCGGCGTACTTGGCGGCGGAGAGGTGAATGGAGGAGGCGGACTGAGTCACATTGAGGCCGAGAAACTGGGTGACATTGTGATTGATTGTCACCTCCAGTTTCTCTTTGATGTCGGCCTCAAACCGGTCTAGCAGCTCCGTGTCGTCGCTGGTGTAGAGAAGGTCGTCGACGTAGGCGACGAGTAGTATGAACTTCCCGCGCGATTCTCGTCTGTATATTCCGAGGTCGTGTGCCAGTTGAGTGAAGCCGAGCTCAAGGAGGACGGAATGGAGGTATTGTTGCCATAGACGAGGCGCCTGCTTGATTCCGTAGAGGGATTTTTGGAGGAGGCACACGGCGCCATCATTTTCTTCGAATGCGTGCGGCTGCTCGACAAAGATGATGGCATCGACGGGAGCGTAGAGAAAAGCGCTTCCGACGTCGATTTGCCGGAGCGGTCGTTGTTTGACGGCCGCGATGCAGATGAGGATGCGTACCGAGGTGTGGCGGCCGACTGGAGCGTAGGTGAGGGTGAAGTCCACCAGGTGTGTTTGCTCAAATTCCCGCACTACCCAACGCGCCTTGTACTTGTCGACCGAGCCGTCTGCGAGAGTTTTGATACGAAAGACCCATTTGCCGCTGAGAATTTTTCTCCCCTTTGCCGATGACCGAGGGACCAACTTCCAAGTGCCACGATTCTTCAGTGATGCGATTTCGGCAGCCATGGCTGCTTTCCATTTTACACTATCGGGGCCAGAAAGGGCTTGGTGGACGGTGGTCGGTTCCTTGGGCGAAGTGTGGCGAACAGCGACGGCGAGGCCGAGAACGCGGAGACCGGTTTCGTCACTCTTTTCGTAGTGAATTCGGTCATAGTCGTGGAGGCTGGTAACTTCGACCACGTCGTCATCGCTGTCGTTGCTGAGGCGGAGGGTATTCTGCGACATGTTGGGTTGTGGGAGCTCGTCATCAGGTGATCGGCGCGCCTCACTGTTGTAGTCATGAGCCGCGCGAGGTGTGTCGTTGGGATCGGGTTGGTGTAGAGGTACGAATATTGAAGTCCCGAGTTGGCTTGTAAGGGGGATGCTGGGTGCTGAGTCCATTGGGGTGATATCAGATGCATCTGCATCCTCGGCCAGGTCATCTTCGTCGTGTGACGTGGCGAAGCTGCGGTGGCCCTCGAAGAGCCTCTCAGGAAGTTTGTCAGCTTCCTGGTGCTCCTTAAAGAGGGGCAGAGTCAACTTCTCGTAGAAGATGCAGTCACGTGATTTTGTCAACTCGTGTGTCGTGTAGTCCAGAACGATCCACGCCTTGAATTCCTTCTCGATCCCGAGGTGGATGCCCCATCGTGCTCGGTCAGCAAATTTTCCGGTTTTCGCAGTGTGGGGTCTGTACTGTACCACGCAGCCAAACACCCGAAGTAGTCGTGTGTCAGCTTTTCTGCCCGTCCATGCCCGGTATGGGGAGTTGTTGTTCTCAAGGCTTCGCGAGGATAGCAAGTTGTGCAGCCGAACAGCGTGATTCATCGCAAACGGCCAATATTTTGTTGGGATGGCCAACTGCTTCATCAGGGCCCTCATCCGCGTGGCGAGGCTCATGTTTGCCCGTTCTGCTACTCCTTGCTGTTGGTGGGCGTAGGGCAGAGACACCAGGTGCTCAATCCCCTTCTGCTTGAGGAGCTCCTTGAACTCATCTGAAAAGAACTCCAGAGCTCCGTCCGTCTGCCAGGTTTTGAGTTTGAGGCCGGACTGTCGCTCAGCCCGCTTCATCCACGCAATGAAGCACTCGAAGGCCAGAGACCTGCTGTCGGTGTTGACGGCCCAGACGTAGCGAGTGGATGCGTCGATGAAGGTGAGTGTGTACTGCTCCCCGTCGAGCCCCTCCTGGCTGAGCACCGTAAAGTCGGTGTAAACTTTGTCTAGCGGCTTGTAGCGTTCATACCCTGGGGGCAAGTCGGGGAACGGCTGGTGAGTGAGCGATGCGGTTGGGCAGACGGTGCACGGTGGGTTAGGTGAGTCCGCGGTAAGCGAACTGTTTCGTGAGAGAAGAAGCGTGTCGTTGTCGAAGACTCCGGCTTTGAGCGAGTTTTTAAGCGTGGCGTGGGAGGGATGGCCGAGCCGTTGGTGCCATATTTCTAGGTCCGCACGGTAACCTACTGTCCTTTGATAAAACTTTTGTCGCGCTGCTTCGTCGTTTGCCTCCCCTTCAGGTCCTTCGTCCGTGGCGGAGTCGATGCCGGCGGCGAGCGCTCGAATTGCCTTTCGCTCCAGAAGCACGCGGGGGATACCGATGATGTCGTCGGTGTCGCCGGCTTCGACTTCGTCTCCGGTAACGAGCAGGCATTGGTTGGGCCATTCCAGAACTGGGAGTCCTTTCATGGGGATTCTGAAGTAACTGTATTCAGCGCCGATGACCTCAATTTCTTGTGGTCCTTGGACGGGTGGCTCCGGCTCTTCGGTAGGTTTGGGTAACTCTGTTGGTTCTCCCATAAATCCGTAGGCTTCTTCTTCTTCTTCTGACTCCTCTTCCCTTTGCTCGGGTGTGCCAGGGCCGTATTGATCTGGGAGAGGTGGACCTCCCCAGCAGGTGCCACGAGTTGCCCGGTATGGGTCGATGACGGCAACTTCCGCAGGAGGAAAGCCAGATGCTTCCGCGTGTCTTCGTTCTGCTTCGGTCGTGGTGCCCCATCCTCCTCTGGCGCCAACTTCCTCTGCTGGAGCTGCTCCCCTCCAACTTGCGGCTGCTTCTTCTGGAGTTGGTACTTCTCCCCAGGGTCCGAGCGTGGGCTCGGAAGTGTTCCAGCCCGGCCAGTGGGTTTCCGCTGTCTTGTTTTCCTCGGTTGATTGAGTTGCAGGTCCTGACGTGCCGCTCTCTTCTTCCATTGTGGCTGGTCCGGTTTCTGCAGGGTTGGAGGTCGAGGCAGTCGTGACAGTGCGCAAGCATAGAAGGCCGTCGGAGGCTGGTCGTTCGAGGTCCATCTCGTCCGGATGTGACCATGTCGGCGGCTGCGTGGGAGTGGTCTTCAGCAGCAATGTGCGGTGGGAGTCGCCGGTGGTGCCCTGAGACGAAAATTGCAACACGAAGACTCCATCGTTATCGATCGACTTTACGATGTAAGTTTCGTTGTGGAAGAGCTCGAAGGTCTTTTCCTTCCGATTGCTGCGAATGTCGATTCCGCACCGCATGAGCTGAGCTAATGAGAGTAGGTTGTATTGTAGATCGGGGGCGACGAGAACGTCCCCGATGTGAATGGTGAACTTCGTGTCATTGGCCTCAAGATAGATTTCGCCAATCTCAAATGCCTTCATTTTTCCGTTGTTGGCGGGCGTGATTTCGCAGGGTCGTCGCATGCGTCGGGAGTTGCTAATGAACCTTGGCGATCCCACCATGTGTTGTCCGCAGCAACTCTCAAGGTACCATGTGTCCAGATCCTCGTGGCGATGGCGGGCAAGGTTGGCAATCTTGGGTGTGACGATGCGATCGAGGTCGCCGGTGTACGGTGAGAGGGCGAAATATCTGTTTGCGGAAATGCTCGGCGGCGATTCCGGAGTATGGGGAGGGAGCTCGAAGTCAGGAGGAAAGTCTGAGGGGCGAGAGGACCAGGTAAAA